TACACACATACCACACACACACACACGCACACACACACACACATACACATACACATACACACACATACACACATACATACACACACATACACACACACATACGCACACACATAAACACACATACACACAACATTGTGTTTTATATATATAGTTAGGCAGAGGTGGATAACCACATTTCCGCATTAGTCTACTGCTATGAACAATGATAATTTCAAAGCTTCATGGAAAAGTTTTGAAATTTTTGAAATATGAACAACTTTAAGATGCATGATTCAAATAATTTGGAAGAGTAAGGGTGAGAGCGTAATAATCCAGATAGACGCCTATCATGAGATTTGTATTGCGCAATAATCAGTGAAAAGGTAGCGGTAAGATTATTCCAATATATGACAGTCGAAATATCCTATTTTCAGTAAAACAGCAGCAAAAGCCAAGTCGAACTATTATGTTAAACACCTAGAAAAACGCATTTGGAATATTGAGAGTCTGCTTCTGCTAGTAGTTCATGTTGAGAACTACTTATGAAAAAGCTAATTTCAAAAATCAAGAATTTTATTCAATCCATAGACCCTAAAATCGCGGAATCATCCTTTTTTTGTAGTTCAGATAAAAAAAACTATTACGATAAACATTTTACTTCCATTCGCAATGTACATAAAATAATGTCAACACTTTTTTAATAAATGAGCCCGCAAATTGCGAGCATAGTAACGATCCAAATAAATTTTGAGCAACTTGAACATCTGATGTTCATTTCCTGGATACAAAGTGGGCTAACTTCTTGCGCTCTTTGCGCAATATTTGTCGCAGCTCCACAAGCTGCTGAACCTGCATCAACGGAACATTGCTCTGTCAATGATTCTTTCACACATTCAACAGCTGATATGGCTCGTCTAAATTGCGTTGACATTACCTAAGAAGAATATTACAACAGTGCATTGTACTTACGAGCACATGTCTGGACTATCGGGCAAACAGGTGTTAATCCTTTGCGTAAGTGGCTGAACGGTGAAAGCTCGTGATAAACAGTCGTGATCGGCGAGGAATACTGAAAAGTGGGCAAAGTAGAAGAAAATAGTACAGCTTTTCATGAAAACGTACATGCTTTCCCAGGACCGCATGCATATTCGAAGAACGCGTGGTTTTGAACGTAAGCGACGGCTTCCTCATTCACTTTTCCATACCATTGCGTAAATCTTTCGAAAATTGGTATAGATATGCAGTCATAAGAGACAAGGCGGAGGCATACCATCAACTCATCAAAATCTCTAGAAAAAAAAGTGAGTCCTCATTTTCAGTTGACGTTCAACAACACTATTAATGGGTCATTGTAGACGAAAATTTTAATTTTTTCCCACCAGGCACTGTGGCAACTCAGTTTCAGTGATACATTGCGTATCACAACTACACGTGTATCCACCCACAGATTAAGCGATAATGTAATTGAAAATGATTTATATTCGACGATTTACTGTTTTGTTGTTATCTCGCTTTAATTTGAGCAAATTTTCACAGTTCAATGATAACCTATTTTTAGTGATAGCAAAGCACTAACACATACCAAAATAGCTCAGGTTCAATAGAGACAGAGCAGAAAACAGCAAAAAATAAAAACTCGCCAATAGAAAGCTAGCCAAAATAATAATGCCCTTCCTGGTGTTTTAACCATTATTTCTTCCATTGGCTTCTGGTAGCTACCGTGTGCATTGACTATCTCAACTACATGTATCCGCCGCCAAGTTCTACGAGCTAAAAAACATTTTTGACGCTAGATCTAATCGTTAGAAAGGAATTTTTTGCTTTTTTTTGTGTAGGAATTATCAAATCTCCTTTTTTAAAAGGAAAATGCTCTTTCCAAATATAGTTTTAAGCAACTACTGACTAATCCCGGAGCCTACAAAGCTTAGGAGTTGTCTAGCCCTGAGAAGATGATACTCGGCATATCGGCCAGGCTAGATTTATATTGAACGTCGGCTAGCACTGACCAAAATCACTTTGTGGCTCCAAAGGTTAGCTCAAGTCGATCGCTTTATATGAAACGAAGTGATAGTGGCTGTAAGAAGGCGAGTTTACAGCCTTTAATTAGGCTCGCGCTGCAGACATCTCATAAGATAAGCTGGAGCAGCAGATGTGTGTGGCGGGCGTTGGCTTTCAACTTCTCATCACAACGTTTTGCATATGCCCTTCCAGCCGCCCTGGTTTTTCTTGAATTAACCATGCCTTTCAAACAAGATGTCTTGAAAAAAAGGCGGCAAAATCGGAGGAAATTTCTACACATCGTCACTGCCATTTCGTCTTTTGCTCGCACTTTCATACGTAAAAGAAAGAAGCTCACTGAAATTTTGGAGCGCTGAAAGTGGACTGTCTATTTACGGACAAGCCACTTACACTTTATTCAAAAAATTAACAATTTGAGGCATTTTAGAGCTGCAGATTGATTTGGGCGTGTTTTGACTGGGCTGCATTTGAGCGTAAGTAGCCCATAGGCCATTTTGTCAAACGTTGACCATTATACATAGATAATTCTAACGTACCTCCACTTCAAGTAGAACTGCGCTCTATGTAGTTTCTACAAAAAAAAAACAGAAACAAAATTCAAAGTTCGAAGTAAAAATGGTACAAAAAACGCTGAGACCCATAACGGAAGTGAAGGTGAAAAGGAAGAAGTGTGGTCATCATTTTGGCCAACTTCCTGTCATGCATATTTGG